CCCACCACAATGCCCGGCTATTTTTTGGTTGCAGCCATCATTGTTGTTTGGCGGGTCCGGGCTGGGGATTCGAACCCACCACCTTAGGTGTACGTGGCTGCCAAATCACATTTTCTATAAAGTCTTTCCTGCTTATTCAACCAAACAAGACTGACCATACCCTAAACACAGGTCTCTCATAACATCTAAATTGCTACTGCAATTGTTCATGCTTCAAAAACAGTATTTCATCATTTTGTTTCTTCCTCTGATGATACAGTCACCAGGGTTGTTTTTGTTTTGTTCTTTGGTTTTGTTTCATTTTTTGAGACACAGTTTCACTCTGTGCCCTGGTAGAGTATTGTAGCATCACAGCTCACAGCAACCTCAAACTCTTGGCAAATAATCCTCTTGTCTCAGCCTCCCAAGTAGCTGGAACTATAGGCTCCTGCCACAATGCCTGGCTACTTTTTCTGTTTTTGTAGAGATAGGGTCTTGCTCTTGCTCAGGCTAGTCTCAAATTCCTGAGCTCAGGCAATCCACCCCCCTTGGCCTCCCAGAATGCTAGGATTACAGGTGTGAGCCACTGTGCCCGGCCTACAGTCACCAGATTTAATCAATTTTGCCAAAGAAATGTCTCAAATTCATTTCCTCCAAAGATATCTAACTACCCACTTGGAATCATCCAGATTTTTCAAGGGCTTTCTACTAGTTGTATTACCTCCATCTCTCTTTACTCAACAAGTTAATGCTCAGCATCTACTACAGTATCTTTATGTTATGCGCTGGGTTCACAAAGATAATAATACATGAGCCATACATTTAAACAGACTGGAATTCCAACAGCATGAAATAAGTTTCGTCATGAGTCAGTAAAAGGATGCCACAGAAGAGTGACCTAACTAGCGTCTTGGGGGTTGGAAGGTGGAGGTAATCAGACAAGGCTTCCAGAAAGTGCATGGGAGTTACACAGAATGTAAAAGAAAATGTTTCAGGCGCAGGAATACAGAGGGGACAGAACAAAGTTAGGAAGCTAAGAAAGTAATCACAAAGTCACCCAGTTCCTAAAGTCTACAGGCCCACTGTCATATTGCTAGCAGAGTTGACTAAAAGTAAATATGGGCTCGGTGTCTGTAGCTTAAGTGGCTAAGGTGCCAGCCACATATACCAGAGCTGGTGGGTTCGAATCCAGCCTGGGCCTGCCAAACAACAATGACAACTACAACCAAAAAATAGCTGGGCATTGGGGGGGGGGGGACGCGCCTGTAATCCCAGCTACTTGGGAGGCTAAGGTAAGAGAATCGTTTGAGCCCAGGAGTTGGAGGCTGCTGTGAGCTGTGATGCCACGGCACTCTACCCAGGGTGATATAGCTTAAGGCTCTGTCTCAAAAAAATAAAAATAAATAAATAAATATGGAAATTTAATCCTTTGCTGGAAAATACATATATATTCTTTAGCACAGAAACTTGGGCCCTTCATAATCTGGCTATAATCTTCCTTTCTTTAACACTTCTTTTATTTAAGTGAATTTTATTGTATACATTTGAGGTTTATAACACAATATGGGATACATATAGATAGTAAATGGCTATGATAATGAAGCTGATTAACCTATCATCTTACATACTCAGGTTGGTGGCAAGAACAGCTAAAATCTACTTATTTAACCAAATTCCCTAATATAATTTCATTAACTTTTGTCATGTCATGCATTGTATTTCTAAACTTATTCATCTCATATTTGTTATATTTATTTATTTTTATTTTTTTGAGACAGAGTCTCACTAGGTCACCCTCTGTAGAGTGCTGTAGCGTCATAGCTCATAGCAACCTCAAACTCCTGGGCTCAAGCGATTCTCTTCCCTCAGCCTCCCAAGTAGCTGAGACTACAGGCACCCACCATAGTGCCTGGCTATTTTTAGAGACAGGGTCTCGCTCTTGCTCAGGCTGGTCTTGAACCCATGAGCTCAGGCAATCTACTGCCTCAGCCTCCTAGACTGCTAGGATTATAGGCATGAACCACTGTACCCATCCTAGTAGTTTTATTTTTAAAACTACCTTATTTTATGTTTTCCATATGGCTGTATCAATTACATTCCAACCAACCATGTGTCTTCAATATCCTTGCCAACAACATTTAGTATCTCTAGTTTTTTTGATGATAGCCATCCTTTTATGTAGCAGGTGATTATCTCATAGAGGCTTTAATTAGCATTTCCATAATGATTAGTGAATCTGAGTTCCTTTTCATATACCTGTTGGCAATTTTTATGTCTTCTTTGGAAAAATGTCTGTATAAGTCTTCTGTCCATTATTTTTGGTTTTTTACTTACTTAATTTTTTGAGACAGAGTCTCACTCTGTCACCCATACAGCAGTGCAACTGCAGGATCATAGCTCTCTGCAGTCTCAAACTTATGGGTTCAAGTGATCCTCCTGCCTCACTTCCCAAATAGCTGGAACTGCAAGTACGTGCCACCATACCCAGCTATTTTTTGTCAAGATGGTAACAAGACCAGCTATGTTGCCCAGGCTGGTCTCAAACAGGCCTCTCCTCTTCGCCTCCCAAAGTGCTGGAATTACAAGTATAAGCCACTGCACTCAGCCTAATCTTTCTTTCTTAAACACATGCTCCCTCTTCAGTTTGTTTTGCATACCATCATTTGAACTCAGCTGGTAATAATAACTTGCACAGTTTGACACAAGAGCGTACACACCTGTAAGATGGACGCCGTGCTAGGATCCCGTGGGCTTTCTGTGAGGGGCCTATGCTGTCAGATGAGTCCTGGGACTCCTCACTTTCTGATAAAGATGATACCTAAAAAGTAGAGTTGGTTTTAATGTGATGAACAATGTAGGTGGGAAAAGTGACTGAGTTTTTACTTTTAGAGAAAATAATCTGTCTCCTCCTATTTAAATTTGATTGCACATTAAATATAAGATCTAAAAGGAACAAAAGGAAAAGGAAAAATGAGAAAGTTTATTTCAGGAGCCCAAACCAACCAAAGAACATAAAATATAGCAAACCCAGAGTTAAGAATAAAGCTGTCTCCCCCAAAGCAATACTATTCTACTAGGGTTGAAAAGAACATTCTCTGATCTCACTCTACACCCTGTTTTCTACACTGATGGACATTCCCTTCAAGAGTTGTTTTTTAATCATTAATGCTT